TCCCTCTCAAAAGATGACTTTGGGGTTGGTCAGGGGCCTGGTGGTTAAGGAGATCTGAACCCCACCTAGCCAACCACAGTTCAAGTCCTAGCCCTAACAGCTTAAAAAACATACCAGGAAAGTGTATGAGCATGCCCCAAATTCTAATGGGATGGAGAAATGGAGGAGAAAGGAAAGCAGTTTTACCATGTCCCTCTGGGGAGTGCTTTCTGCCTCTCCCTCTCTCTGTCTCTCTAGCTAGAATGTGTACTCTCTGGACTCCCTCCCCCCCCCAAAAAAAAAAAACCTTTTGATTATGAATGTTACAACTATATTTTCTTTAGTTTACTATAGGGAGCATGCACTCACGGAGATGGAGAGAGAGAAAGTGAGAAATTCCCCGGGAGATGACCATGCCACAATCCCCTCTCCTCCATTTCTCCCCTTGGGATTCTGGGCCCACACATGCCCATACCTGGCTATTGCTTTAAAAATCGGGTTCAATATTTTGACTAAGGAGAAAAAGAGAGATGAGTAACAGAAAAAGATATGGGGAGTTGAGAGGAAAAGTATTGAACTACCTAAGAGATAGTGCAAGAACACAGAGTTTTAAAATAGTGCCCCTAAATTTTTGGAACTATAGGCGTTAGTTGGACCAGTACTTTCTGTTACTGCTTTGTGAAGTAAATGAAATAAAGGCAAGTTTTAGGTCTAAGCCACAGGCCAACTCTTCCTAACACTTCTGTAACCAGAAACCATGCTTAATTTACTAGAGTCCTTTGAGGATTTAAATAGCACATGGATAGAGCGGAACAGTGGATGCTATTTCAACTTTCAAAAAGTTTGGCAAGCTTTTAAACCCAAAGCTGTTTTTAAAAAATTGAGTCACCATGGGATTGGGGAGCAATGTTTAGTCCTGGCTCCTTAACTATGGTTTGAAGATAAGAAATATTTTTAAAATAGAGTTAAAGGAGCCCTTTTCTGAATGGCAGAAAATAATACAGTAGGGCTACAAGAGATCAGCTGTGGGAGTAATTCGATTTCATATTTGTAATAGCTTTGGAAGAGGAAGTATGGGGCAAAATTGCTAGGCTGGCAGATGCCGTTGCACTATTCCAATGAAGATAAGAAGCTTCAAGAAGATGCGTGTGTTATAGTAGTGGGCACCAAGTATCCTGCAAGCTTTGATTTGAACAAGATCAAGGAAATGTCTCTATACATTCTTGAGTTCATTTCAGAAGATTTAGAATGAGCCTTCCCTCTTTATCTGGGACTTGGTCTCTGCTTCAGGCAACAGTAGGAGTAAAGAAAGATAGAGTTAGTGGTGCCATTGAGACAAGCATGGTATTTAAGCTGACAGCTTTATAGGCACATGAAAGAGGAAGGCTAGGAGTGAGCTGGTTCCCACCAAGATAAAGAATGTTTCTCTACATCTCTTTCAATCTGATTGTTGGTGACCTGAGTATTCACTAAGAAACTTAAATTTGCTAGGCTATCATTTTAGGAGAAATGCAATCAATTCTCTTCCATTTTTGCTACAGTATAGTTTCCCTCTCAAAAGATGACTTTGGGGTTGGTCAGGGGCCTGGTGGTTAAGGAGATCTGAACCCCACCTAGCCAACCACAGTTCAAGTCCTAGCCCTAACAGCTTAAAAAACATACCAGGAAAGTGTATGAGCATGCCCCAAATTCTAATGGGATGGAGAAATGGAGGAGAAAGGAAAGCAGTTTTACCATGTCCCTCTGGGGAGTGCTTTCTGCCTCTCCCTCTCTCTGTCTCTCTAGCTAGAATGTGTACTCTCTGGACTCCCCTCCCCCCCCCCCCCAAAAAAAAAAAACCTTTTGATTATGAATGTTACAACTATATTTTCTTTAGTTTACTATAGGGAGCATGCACTCACGGAGATGGAGAGAGAGAAAGTGAGAAATTCCCCGGGAGATGACCATGCCACAATCCCCTCTCCTCCATTTCTCCCCTTGGGATTCTGGGCCCACACATGCCCATACCTGGCATGTACCTCAAGCCACTGGATCTGGGACTTGAACCATGCAGTAGGCCATGTAGGATCTAGCTACCTCAACCTCCACACCACTGGCTGGCCCCAGAACAAGATTTTTTGACCTCCTATGCTACCATGTTAAAACATGGCATCCTTCTTTTTGGCAGATACATTATATCATGGAAGAGGACATCTAACAGAATCAGATCAATATCTTCCAAAGTTGTCAAATTTTCAATAATGAGGAAAACACCTTGTCCACCTAACAGTGTGGTGGAGACGCTCAAAGGACCTGAGTGATAGGAAACCGCTTTGTAATGTGCTGTTCAAAAATATAATAATATTAATTATTCATGATTTCAGATTAGAAATATAAGTGGAAACAATTGGAAGAACATATCGTTCATAGCTATAAAAGCAAATGTGCACAATTCAGTATACAAGAATGTTCTCTGTAGCATTGTTTATATTAGCAAAATTTTAGAAATAACTCAATTCTTATCAATACACTTTTTAAATAAATTATGATATAGCCATAGACAGGAATAAGGGCAAGACAGTTCTATATGTTTTGACTTGGAAATGTGTCCAAGATATATATTTTAAGCGATAAAGCATTGCAAATCAGTATGCATAGTATGATTCCAATTTTGGCTAAAATTACATATTAGTATATGCATGTGAAACCTCTACAAGTATATATATATGAAATTGTTAACCATGATCATCTCTTACAAAGACAGGGTGATGGAGGAACTTTTATTTTATGCTGCATATATTTCTATACTATTTACATTGCTTATAATGAGCATTAATATTTTTGTAATGAAAAATGTGAATTGAAAATGTGAATTTGGGGGACCAGCAGTTAGCGTAATGGCTATGTTGCTGGACTCACATGTAGTCGACCGCAGTTTGAGTCCCGGACCTGGTGGCTTAAACTCACGCCGGGTGCGTGTGCATGTGTGCCCAAGATCCCGAGAGGAGAATGGAGGAGAAGGGATTGCGGCATGACCATCCCCCCTGGGGGATGCTTTCTCCCTTTATGTCTCTCTGTCTTTCTCTGTCTGTCTGGCGAGCACACGTGCCCTATAGCAAAAACCTCTCCCCACCAAAAAAAAGTGAATTTGGGGGACCAGCAGATGACATAGTAATTAAGGCTCTGGATCCCACATTACTGACTGCGCAATTCAAGTCCCAGACCTGATGTCTTGAAAATCACACTGGTATGTGTGCCCAAAAATCCCATGAGACTGAAGGAGAAGGGACAGTGGTGGGGGCCATCCCTTCTGGGGGTGTGCTTTCTCACTTTTCCTCTCTCTCTTTCTCTCTGTCTCTGGTGATTGCACATGCCCCATAGCAAAATTCTTTTAAAAAAAGGGTGGAATAGAAAACAGGAAATTGGGCCAGATGGTGTACAGTGGTTAAGGCAGCTGGATCCCACATGGCTGACTGTGTGGTTTGAGTACCAGATCCAGTGGCTTGAAGAACACACTGGGCACATGTGCATGCATGCCCAAAATCCAAAAAGGAGAATAGAGAAGGGACTATAGTCTGGTCATCCCCCCGGGAGGTGCTTTCTCACTTTCTCTCTTTCTCTTTTTCTCTCTCTCTGTCTCTCCAGCAAGTGCAAATGCCCCATAGCAAAACTAATACACATACACACATGAATTTGCCTTTAACCTTGACTACCCTATTATAATTTGGAAAAAAAAATATATATAAAAAGAGGGCAAAAGACCAGTAAATCTTTCCATTTCTTTTTGCTATAGGGCGCATGTGCTCACTAGACAGAGAAAGACAGAGAGAAAGCGAGAAATCACGCCCCAGGGGGGATAGTCATGCCACAGTCCCTTCTCCTCCACTCTCCTCTCGGGATCTTGGGCACACACACACGCGTGCACCCAGCATGAGTTTTAAGCCACCGGGTCCGGGACGCAAACCGTGGTCGACTACATGTGAGTCCAGTGACATAGCCATTATGCTAACTGCTGGTCCCAATCTTTTTATTTCTTTAAGAAAGCATTCTATCACCATGATTAGAAAAAAAGAAAAAAAATGGGGGGCTCAACCTTTTTCTTCTTTGCAAATAGTGTTCTGATATTTTCACATGATAAAAGAAAAAGGAAGAAATTAAATCTGTTTCTTATTTTTTGCTTTGGTTTTTGTTTGTTTTCTTTTGTAAAAATGGGGGATAAATCCGCATGGAAGACTAGAACTATGGTGCAGCAAAGAAACCACCTCAGCTGGGTTGGTGTCCCAGCTGAAGTTGGCAAAACTCCACACTGAAAAATAGAACTTCTCAGGGTTATAAATATTTCCTCTTTTTATGCTGCTGAGAATGTCCGTCAATACCTCAATACTTCAATTCTCACGTAAAGCCTATGGTTTATCCTACAGGAGCACATTAAATCCTTCCCTGGAGTTGGTGTTCACTCTTCTCATGGAGAATGTGAGGGAAGTTGACCCATAAGATTTTAGTCTCAAAAAAAAAAAAAACCAAAAACCAAAAACCAAAAAACAAAAACACCCTCCTAAATAGAATCTCAGCTCTGAAACATATAGAAGAGTAGAAAGAAGAGATGAATATGGAAAAGGCTTTGTCCATGTCCATCTAATGAGTAGAAAACTGAATGAAGGTCCTTTCAGTGCTTCACTGGCCTGAACCTCCCTGAGCACAGCTCTTATCACTCTGCCTTGACATTGGCCCATACTCTTCCAGACTCCTTACTAGACTAAGAGCACAGTTAAGACAAAGACCTTGTCTGTCCTTTGCATCATTGTATCCCCAACACCTTGGAAAAAAGGTTGAATTAATATTCATTGATTGTTGAATGAGTATTTTTCCTGGCAAATAGAGTCTGTCTAGAAGAGTCAACTTTTGCACTGTGGGGTCATCTGACGGCATGAAAGGCTGCAGAGAACTCATGGTCGGTTTGACTATTGGTGCCATGTACACTCAGCTTTCCCTTTACTTAGGATTCTCTCTGACAAACCATTTCTTTGCCTTAACTTTTACAGATACAGCCAAAAAGCAGCAAGAAATGGAATGAAAAACCAGTTCAATCTCCATGAGCTGAAAATGAAGGGCCCTGAACCAGTGGTCAGCCAAATTATTGACAAACTGAAGCACATTAACCAGGTAGGTGGTATATCTAACAAAAGTAGAAATGGCTAAAAAGTGAGAGATGGATGGTTTCCACTGTTTAAACCGTATTCTCAGGTTTTGGGAGAAGCAGCTGTTGTTCATTTTCTTCCAAGATTCACCCTGCTAAAAGGGACTTCTGACCCTCGTTTCTACCTCAAGACAATATTGCAGTAGGAGAGAAAGCTTGGAAAATTGAGAGAAAAATGTTTCTTAAAATCCCATTACTCTTATCCTGACTGTTGTTGCTTTTGCATGTTCTTTTCTAGTATTTGTCCAGAAAAATCAGACTCACACAGACTTTTTGTGTAATTGGAAGTGTACAACTGATTTGTATTTCTTAAAATTGACACTATATTGACAACACTTTTTCATGCTGCCACAGAACTTTATACCAATCATTTGTTGTGGCTGCATACTATTCCCCTGAGTATTCAACATTATTAATCCGTTTGCTTTTGCTGAACATTCAGGTCGCTTCCAGTGTTTTACCATCATAAATAAAGTTACTTATTCATATGTAATGATTCCTCTTGATCTTAGATTTTTTTCCCCCTAAAACACTGGAGTTACTGGGTCAAAGGATATAAACAATTTAGTGCATTTCTCCAAGTTTCTTTCCAATGAGACAATATCAGTTTTCACTGCTACCAGCAAGATTTGAGAGGTCCAGTTTCACTTCACCTTTGCCAACTTCTGACTCACTGTCATGCACAAAGACACCCACAGATTCCCTTGACCTGTACACATAGTTTTTCCTCTCACAAGGAGTTTAGTAATAAGACACAAATAGAAGTTGGTTGTACCATCTGCTTGTGATTTCTTTGTGGCCACAATAAAAAAAAAATTGCCACTAAAAAGGCCACCATATGCTAGAGTGACAATGTTCCTGCCCCATGATCCATGGGTGGGAGGACCCTGGCACCACTGACTTCTATTTGTAGCTGAGGAGGAACTTAATGAAGCTGAAATCCTTATGTGAAGGCTGAGGTTTCTGTAAGAAGACATTAGCATGAGTTTTTTTTTTTTAAATACAAAGTTTAGCAGGGAGATATTTGTGGTTCTTAGAGAATGTTTGGAAGAGCTTCCTAACAGCGGTATATTGCACTGCAGTTGCGTTGTGAAAACATTAACAACATACTTGTATGTAACTCCTTCAGTGCCTGCTAAAGTGCTCTGCACTCCATGAGTGAGCACTTAATAAACAGTTGTTACTGCTGCTGAACACATGATAATGACAGTGGTTACATAATGGATACTTCCTTCTGTGAATGCATAACCTTGCTAAGTTCTATCAAGAATTGTTACGTATTCCTCAGTATGATTAGTTCACAATGTGTCACCAAAGGGATCAGAACACAGACAATGTAAAGCACTTATTGCTGAGCTGAGAGCATGGTATGCTTCATCTGGGGACAGTGGTAGTATTTATCTTCCAAATTATTTGACACCAAATATGTTTGGTGGCTACATTCAATTGGTTAGACTCCAGCACCGGTAAGGCCAAACTCTCAGGGTTTACCATTATGTCCCTAATCCTGAGGAGGAATACTGTCAACAGCCTTTCAGAAATACCTACTCTGTGCTCAGCTAGGTGCCAGGGATTTGTGGATTCAAAAGAAGTCAAATCCATTTACACAGCCTCCTTGAAGCATCAGCATAGGAAATAGTTAAAGAGAAAGGGCAGCCAATACTGAAGACCTGAAAGAGAATGCTTTTCATCAATTTGGGGCAGTATACTTAGGCCTGTGGTAGACTAAACTAATGTGGTCATTTCAGGAAGGGGCAAGCGTTAACATCTGCCATAAGCAGGCCCAGTAGCAATAGGTCAAGTAGGAGGATGCTGCTACATGTGGCTAAAGCCACATGGTGACCCATTTGATTCCTTGACCAACCTAAACAGGTTGGGCACAGTGGTGCACACCTGTCTTAGCTGACTGAGAGGCTGACACAGAAGGGTCATGACATGGTGAGACCATGTCAAAAATCTCTCTCTCTCTCTCTTTCTCTCATTAAAAAAGGGGGAGGGATAGGTTGGATAGTTAGTGGTAAAATGTCGTAGATACTCTGCGAGGAAGATTCAAATGGGGAGGTTACTGTTTCACATCCAGAGAACTCCCTGAGTGCACTGGGCTTGTGTGTACCCATGATTCAAATTTGCTAAAGTGGAAGGTGGAGGGGGTCAGCTGGTGGTGTGGTGGTTTAGGTGCTGGACTCCCACATGGCCAGCCATGGTTCAAGTCTCAGAGAGAGGCTTGCTTCCTCTCTCTCTCTCTCTCTCTCTCTTTCTCTTTCTCTTGTGAACACATATGCCCTATAGCAAATTTAAAAGTAGTAGTAAAATTCAATTCAATTCAATTAATAATCCTTTTTTAAAAATGGGGGTGGATTGCAGTTTTGGGACCCTGCCTGGATACTGTCTCTGTCTGTATTTCATGGAATAAATAAATAAATAAATAAAAATCTGATATAAACAATGAGTAGTGTTAAGTAGGTAGAGACAAAAAAGGGAGCAGCAGTAATAAGGAAGATCAGACAAAGACATGTGGGTGGGCCCCACCCTAGAAAAAGGAATAGCTGCATCAGATATAGGCTTCTATATGACCCAACTGTCACTAAAATGTGCATCGCAAGCCCTTTACCAAAGTCTCTGAGCATAGTGGAAAGAATATGGGCTTTAGATGCAGACAGATGTGAATTCGTTATAGATACTACTAGATATATTACTTTGGACAATTCAGTTAACCTCTGAGCTTTAGTTCTCTCATCTGAAGTATTGTAGAGGTACCAAAAGCTCCCTAATGTGTGTATATAATATGCACACAGAAATATATATAAAATTGCATGTACACGACAGGCACGTCATAAATGGCAGTTATAAGGATTATGTTCAAGATTTTCTGTATGAGAAAGACTTATGTTTGAAAGAGAGTTTTAGTCCTTTTTGCCAGTGTAATTCTATTCCCTCAGTTTTGCATGCTTGCAGATTCCTTTGATTCATCACTTATTTTCTCCCTCATATTCTTTTTCCTTTTCCTTTTCTTTAATTTTCAGCCACAAAAGGTGAAACCAGCTGATAGGTCTATATTGTCAGAGTGGGAAGGGTCACCATTACAATTCCTTTCTCAGGAACCAGCAGTTAGTGTAGTGGCTATGTCGCTGGCCCCCCACGTAGTCAACCGTGGTTTGCGTCCTGGACCCGGTGGCTTAAAACTCACGCCAGGCACGTGTGCGTGCGTGCTCAAGATCACAAGAGGAGAATGGAGGAGAAGGGATTGCGGCATGGCCATCCCCCCTAGGAGGGTGATTTCTTGCTCTCTGTCTCTCTGTCTGTCTGGCAAGCGCACGCACCCTATAGCAAAAACCTCTCCAAAAATAAATAAATAAATAAATAAATAAATAAATAAATAAA